AAACGTTTCTCTTCCTACACGGGCATCTCATGTTTTAAATAACAAAATAATAATATTTAATACAAAATAGACGCTTACACTTACCCTTCACTATCTCTATTTTATTTTTATTTTCTTTAACAACTTTTATTTCAGCTCTTATTGTACTTTTAATTTGATTTTTACTTAGTATTTCAACTTCTCGTTTTCCTTTTTTCCCAAACTCATTTCAAATTGTTATTACTTTAATGTTGCTTAAAGTAGTTAAATTTTAAATTTAAAATTTTATTAATTAATTCCTGATTTTGTGATCAACTAAGTTGTTTTTATTTTTTTTGCTTCCTATTGTATTAATTCAATTTGATGCTCATTTTAGTGATATACATTTTTTCTTAAAATTAAATCCTTTAAAATTATTGATCACTGATATTTATTAGTTACTTGTATTCTCATCTGAAATTACAAAAAAAGTTAGGTCTTTGTTGACTTTCTTTTTCACTCTTTAATTAACATCATTTGTTCTAGTTTTTTCCAAGGTGGCGGTCAAATAATTACACAACTATATGTTTATTGTAACGTTTCGGTTTATTTAACCATTTAACCTGAAAAAAATTTGTTTTTTACTTATAGTTCAGGAATCTAACTTAAAATTAAATATAATTTTTGAAATATACGTAGGTACTACAAATTTAATACCAATGATTTTGATATTAATTTTTTTTTAATGTTTTACGGTTTGCAATTTTTGTTTTTTCCAAATTCTATTTATTTGAATTAGGTCTTTATACTTTTACTTACCTTTACTGTTATCCTTACTTTGCTTATTTTTATTTTCCATATTCACTTTCAATTTATTTTCTTTTTAAACTTACTTACTTCAAATTAACGCTTCTTATTTATTTAAAGACTTATTTGTTATTGTTTGTTTATTGTCTATAACTATACCATACAGTTTACATGTTCCTAGATTATTGTAGTCCGGCTCCTTCACCAAAATTAATATTCACAAGTGTAAAAATTCTGTAACAACTTAAATTTTTAATGTTTAATTTTCAAAACTATTTTATTATTTACTAATGCCATTTTCATAGTCTAAAAAAGAAATAGCAAAACTTTTGTCTTTAACTTTCTGATACTACATGTCTTTAAGTTGCTTAAGACCTGGCTCCTTCACCAAAATTAATATTCGTATGTGTAAAAATTTTGTGACAATTTTAATTTTTAATGTATAATTTTTCAAAACTATTTTGTTATTTGCTAATGCCATTTTCGTAAACGAAAAAATAAATAAAACTTTTGTCTTTAGCTGTCTTATACAACATATCTTTAAATTGATTAAGACCTGGCTCCTTCACCAAAATTAATTTTCTTAATAGTAATTTTAATGATTAATTAGATTTTTATTAAAAATTACACATCAAGTAAAAACAATAAGCCCATTTTTAAATCGAATTTACTGCAATGAAATATTTAAGAAATTTATTGTTATTATAATATTAAGACAATAAGCACTTCTTTTATGTGTAGTTAGAAATTGTATTAATGCATATTTATTTAAGAAATTAATGTTTATTTATCTTAAATGTATTAATATGTAGTTAAGATAGTTTTTGAATTGTATTTATCTTAGCTTTTGATAGATTAATGATATTTATTTAATTTATGTTAGGGTATAACTACATATTTATATTAATGTTTTTCACATTTTTAGATTAGTTGAAAAAATTTTAATATCTCTGTAATAATAAACAAATTGGGGGATTTATTGTGGGGTGTGAGTTAGTGCACGAAAGATTTTAGAGTGAAAGAGTGAGAATGGGAATTATGTGGCGAGGAAGAGTGAAGAAGTGAGCATGTAAATGATTATAAAGGTGTGAGTGGATGAGGGTATAAACGTCTAGAAGGAAGAATAAATGGGTGAAAAAGGATGTGAGACTAAATGAATGCATAAAAGGTTTAGGGTGAAAATTAACATGAAAGAGGATGTATTTGTGAATAAGAGGGAAAAAGAAAGAGTGCAAATGTGCCTGGAAGGGAGGTAAGGAGAATAGGTACGACAGAAAGGGGTAATGTTTGCAACAGGGTGAACGTAAAGGTGGTAGAATGTTTCTATGAATGATTGTGAAAGAGTATAAGGATGAAAAGTGTATGAAAGAGGATATAAGGGTGAAAGTGTATGTACGAATGAAAGTAAGACTACGAATAAAAGTAAGGGTGAGAATGTTTGGGGAATGCGTGTATAAAAGGGGGTATGGAAATAGCCATATTCCCTTTTACACAAGCACTTCGTCCCACATATTCTCACCCTTGGAATGACTGGGGCGAAAGTTGTTTGCTAGAGGTACGATAGAGTGAGAATGTGTGCAAGAGGGTGAAACTGAAATGGTGGTAGTGTGTTTATATGAATGATTGTAAGAGTATGAATGACTGTGAAAGTGTGTAAGGGTGAAAGGTGTATGAAAGAGGATGAACATAAGGGTGAAAGTGTATATATGTATGAAAGTAAGAGTACGAATGAAAGTGAGGGTGAGAACGTATGGGGGAATGCGTGTGTAAGAGAGGGTATGGAAAATAACCACTCTCTCTTTTACACACGCACTTTCTCCCACATATTCTCACTCTTGGAATGAACGAGGGGTGAGAATGTGTGGGAGAGAATGCGTGTGTGAGAGAGGGTATGCATTGGGCATACCCTCCTTTACACAGGCACTCCCTCCCACAAATTCTCACCCTGAATGAATGAGGTGTGAGAGTACACCTTCCTTTCCCTTCCATCTACATCCTTCCTAATATCCCATCCCGTCCCCGGGACAAGGGGGGAGATAAGGGGGGAGAGGGGCAAGGGGGGGAGANGACTGCGAGGATGAATATATGAGAGAACGAGTGTGTGAAGGGTGAAGTTGTTTGTATGAATGAAAAGAATGTGAGGGAGAGCAAATATGAATGAGGGTGCGTGGTATGCAAGAGAAAATGATTGCGAGGGTGAATACATGAGAGAACGAGTAGGTGGAGGGTGAAAATGTGGATGAGGTTAAATGGTATGCACGAGGAAATGACTGCGAGGATGAATATATGAGAGAACGAGTGTGTGAAGGGTGAAGTTGTTTGTATGAATGAAAAGAATGTGAGGGAGAGCAAATATGAATGAGGGTGCGTGGTATGCAAGAGAAAATGATTGCGAGGGTGAATACATGAGAGAACGAGTAGGTGGAGGGTGAAAATGTGGATGAGGTTAAATGGTATGCACGAGGAAATGACTGCGAGGATGAATATATGAGAGAACGAGTGTGTGAAGGGTGAAGTTGTTTGTATGAATGAAAAGAATGTGAGGGAGAGCAAATATGAATGAGGGTGCGTGGTATGCAAGAGAAAATGATTGCGAGGGTGAATACATGAGAGAACGAGTAGGTGGAGGGTGAAAATGTGGATGAGGTTAAATGGTATGCACGAGGAAATGACTGCGAGGATGAATATATGAGAGAACGAGTGTGTGAAGGGTGAAGTTGTTTGTATGAATGAAAAGAATGTGAGGGAGAGCAAATATGAATGAGGGTGCGTGGTATGCAAGAGAAAATGATTGCGAGGGTGAATACATGAGAGAACGAGTAGGTGGAGGGTGAAAATGTGGATGAGGTTAAATGGTATGCACGAGGAAATGACTGCGAGGATGAATATATGAGAGAACGAGTGTGTGAAGGGTGAAGTTGTTTGTATGAATGAAAAGAATGTGAGGGAGAGCAAATATGAATGAGGGTGCGTGGTATGCAAGAGAAAATGATTGCGAGGGTGAATACATGAGAGAACGAGTAGGTGGAGGGTGAAAATGTGGATGAGGTTAAATGGTATGCACGAGGAAATGACTGCGAGGATGAATATATGAGAGAACGAGTGTGTGAAGGGTGAAGTTGTTTGTATGAATGAAAAGAATGTGAGGGAGAGCAAATATGAATGAGGGTGCGTGGTATGCAAGAGAAAATGATTGCGAGGGTGAATACATGAGAGAACGAGTATGTGGAGAGGGAAAGAATGTATTCGTGGGAGAAAAAGGGGTAAGAATGGGTGACAGGAAGAATAAAAGTGGGGCAGAATGTATGTAAGGGTGAAAGTGTTTGTATGAATGAATGAGTGCGTGTGACGGAGAGAGAGTATGAATGAGAAGGTGAGAATGTGTGAGAAAGAGGGGTTGTCTGTGAGAGAGAATGAATGAGGGCGAGAATGTGTGTATGAGAGAGGGTATGTGTGTGAGAGAAAGAGAGTATAAATCTGTACTCTCCTCTCTCTCACACACACGCTCTTTCTCAAGCACACACTCTCGCCCTCGGCGTAAAAGGGGGTGAGAATGTGTTCATGAGAGAGTGTGTGTGTGTGAGAGAGGGTACAAATCCGTACCCATCTCTCTCACACGCACTCTCTCATACACACATTCCCACCCTCGGTATGAATGAGGGTGTGTGAATGTTAGGGGGCGATGCCCCCGGGGTAAAGGGGGGACAAGGGGGCAACGCCCCCGGGGCAAGGGGGGAGAGAAGGGGGCGAAGCCCCCGGGGTGAGAGGGGAGACAAATAAAACGAGAGATAACCCTTATACTGTGTTTTATTTTGACAAAAAAAAATTTTTCAGGCCTACCAGGTTTAGTGCGAAAGGTTTTGTTAATTCGACGAGCGTCCGGGACAAGGCCCGGACGTTGGAGTGTCCAAATTCGAACTAAGTGGCCCCCAAGACCTGGAAGTCGGAACTTCCGGGATACTAAGTCTCAGAAACTTCGAAATTCGAGTCCCAAGTACTCCAAAACAAAGGATCCCGAAGGAATCCGATGTTTTGGAGGCCTTGAGATTCGAATTCCGAAGTTTCCAAGACCCAGGATCCCGGAAATCCCGAGATTCCGGGTTCTGGAGACTTCGAAGTTCGAATTCGGACGCTCCAGAACACTCCCGATCCGACACTCCCGACGCGATTCAGATGATGGTCCTCCTGCAACAAAAAAATAATAAAGTTTAAGATAATGTACATTTAGAAGTAGAAATTTTAGCGTTTTAATTGTTTATAATAATTATTTTCCTTTTAACAAACAAGTGATAATACAAAACTAAATTATGTTAAAATATCAATGTGTCAAATGTCTGTGAGAAAATAAATAATTGTTATAAACAATTAACTAGAAAAATACTCAATGTTACACATTTCAAAATATCCTACAATAAGAAAATGTAATTCATTTGATCAGAGTTAAAGTCATAATTTAGATAAATAATTAACAAGGAAGGTGTTCAAAGTAAAATAAAAAGTAAAAAACACCAAAACAAGTTTAATTTACATTAAAACAGAAAGGTGTCAATGAAATATCAAAACCAAAAAATCCTCATAAACGATTATCTAAAAAGTATTTTATTTCGAATACGAATGAGATTTTTTGGTTTTTGTTTTTTAATTGATACCTGACAATTTGTTTTAATGTAAATTAAGTTGGTTTAGGTGTTTTTTCCTTGGATACCTTTCTTACTTAAGTATGTAATTGTTTATCCAAATTGTTTGGTTTTGTTTTTGATTAACACCTGACAATTTGTTTTAACGTAAATTAAGTTTGTTTAGGTGTTTTTTCCTTGGATACCTTTCTTACTTAAGTATGTAATTGTTTATCCAAATTATGTGTTTTTGTTTATTAATGACTTTAACTTTGATCAAATAAATTACCTTTTTTATTGTAAATTACAAACTTTTAATTCATTAAGAAACAAAAACAAATAATTTAGATAAACAATTAACAAGAAAGGTGTTCAAGGTATAATAATAAACAGATAACAGATATAACAGATAAATATATTTTATTTAAAATACTTCTCTTAAATTTTTTTTTATGAGGATTGTTTGGTTTTGTTTTTGATTAACACTTGACAATTTGTTTTAAGTAAATTAAGTTTGTTAAAGTGTTTTTGCCTTGGATACCTTTCTTACTTAAGTATGTAATTGTTTATGCAAATTATGTGTTTTTGTTTATTAATGAATTTCACTTTGATCAAATGCATTACCTTTTTTATTGTAAATTACAAACTTTTAATTCATTAAGAAACAAAAACAAATAATTTAGATAAACAATTAACAAGAAAGGTGTTCAAGGTATAATAATAAACAGATAACAGATATAACAGATAAATATATTTTATTTAAAATACTTCTCTTAAATTTTTTTTTATGAGGATTGTTTGGTTTTGTTTTTGATTAACACTTGACAATTTGTTTTAAGTAAATTAAGTTTGTTAAAGTGTTTTTGCCTTGGATACCTTTCTTACTTAAGTATGTAATTGTTTATGCAAANAATCCTTATAAACGATTATCTAGAAAAGTACTTTATTTCGAATACTTTTGTTCATTATCAAGTAAAGTATTTAATTTAAAATACTTCTCTTGAAAATTTATTTGTGGGGATTGTTTGGTTTTGGTTTTTGATTGATACCTGATAATTTATTTTAACGTAAATTAAATTTGTTTAGGTGGTTTTTTACTTCTAAATTTTTTAAATTTTACCTTAAAGACCTTTCTCATTAAATATGCAATTATTTATCTAAATTGTTTGCTTTTATATATTAACAACTTTGACATTGATCAAATGAGTTACATTTTCTTATTGTGAGGTATTTTGAAATGTGTAGCATTGAGTATTTTTGTTAATTGTTTATAACAATTATTTATTTTTCTTATAGACATTTGACACTTTGAAACTTCAACGTAATTTAATTTTTAATTTTGTATTATCACATGTTTGTTAAAAATAAAATTATTATAAACAATTAAACAAACTAAACACTTTTAATCACAATAATCATAAAAGGGGCAATGTGAGGAATGACGAAAATACCAAAATCTATAATAATAATCAGTCGTGTTGGTGTATGAAAATGTTTATTGATGTACCTAAACCACTAACAACAAATTATACAATATAAAAATTATTAATTAGTTATGTAACACAACTCAAACGTCTTGTGAGAAAAGTACCTGAAAGTAACAAGTTACGTTGAAATAAGAAAGTGGTAATTATTTCAATAAACGAAGTGAAATACTTGTACTAAGTACGCAGAGATAAATCGTATAAGCAACAGAAAAAATATAAAAATAGTGACGCAATTTGATTTTGAAAAGTCGACCTAAAACTAATATTTCAAAAACTGACAAAATTAATGACAAATTACTATTAAAACAAAATTATCTCATATTTTAATCCTTCACAAGTGAATGCAATCCACTAATAAACAAAAATGCTTCTAATTATGTATTACATTAAAAAAAATGATTGGTTCGACTGCAAAAGAGATTCTGAAACTTTCAAACCACAATAAACATCCTATCTGAATACATAGATGGCGACTTATTGCCTTCTTGTGTTTTATGATCAAATAAAAAAGAAAAGTTAAGTATTAGTTTAATAATAACTTTGAGAAACTATTTTTATTTTTTTACATTTCACAGGTAACTAGCAACAATTAACAGAATGTTAAATAAAAGTTAAAAAATTAAATTAGAAATTAACAGTAAATTTTATGTTCAAATCCTTCACATAACCCCTCAGATAAATATAGTGCTAATAATAGATAAAAAACTCACCGTTGTGACCACCACCGGTCCACCTCTCCTAACAGGGACATCTCGAAAGACCTCCTCCATGAGTGTGGAACGGAAACTCCCCGAGAACATCCTTCATGAGTGTGGAAAGCCAAGAAAGACTGGAAAACGTGACTACGATCTCCCTCCTAACAGAAGCATCCCAGAGGTAGTTATCCTCCATCCTTTATGAGTCTGGAAAAAATCCAAATTATAATATTTTTAGAACTAATTTATTTACTTGCAGCATGAAGATAACGTGTGCCTTTATTAATAATAATGCAATTACGAATAATAAATACATAATTAAAAAAATGTATTAAATTGTATTTATTCTTCGACTAATCCATTCCAAATGTAATAAAAATGCCAAAGTTGAAGTTGCCGAATAGTATATTGAAAAAAGAAATTTTGAATTTAGATGTCGACGTTTGACCCTTATCAAGACTTATTAGAAATTTATAAAAAAAAATAAACATTCACCAACTTAAACTTTGACATTTTAAATGAATTGCCTACTCGAAGTAAATACAACCTACTACAACTTTTGAAAAGCACTTCCATTGGTATATAAGTCATAATTAAGGTAAATAAATAACTGAAAAACTTACCCATATGGTCTTGATCATTCTAAACGTTTCTCTTCCTACACGGGCATCCCAAC